TGGCTCAGTAGAATAAGTGCTTCCCTGGCAAGTGCAAGGGCCTGAGTTCAATCCCAGTTCCTCCAAAAAAGGGGGGAGAGAGAGAGAGAGAGAGAGAGAGAGAGAGAGAATAAAGGTTTGTACTAATATTGTTTGGACAAGATATCATGTCTGCATCTTGTCCTCTGAATAACTGCTGTGAAGACAATATACAATGTATTAATTATTTAAACTGTCCTACTGACCTGTTTTGAAACTGTTGCATTGCTATTTTATATTTTTCTCATTAAGGTGAACCTAAAAAAAGAGAAACAAAAAAAAAAAAAACATAAAAAAAAGAAAGTGGGCTTTTTCTCAGAGTGACCCTGACAGTGTGTGTGTACTTATGATACCTCTTTTTAGAATATTTCAACATCATACTTAGTTATTATACCTAGTAGATAAATGTTTTCCCCTTCGAAAATTACTCTCTGAGGCCGGCCGGATAGCTCAGCAGAATTAAAGCACCTGCTTATGCAGACTCAGAGGCCTGGGTCTTGATCCCCAGCCTGCCATGCCAGCCCACCCCCGGGGCACTCTGAGAAGGTGATTAAGACTGGGCATGGTTGCACACACCTGTAATCCCAGCACTTGGGAGGCTGAAAAACAGGAAGATCACTACAAGTTCGATCTGTGTAGTGAGATCCTGTAGATCCAGTACTAAATACATTAAAAAATAAAAATTTTTAAAAATAGGAAATTATTCACTGAACTAAGCAATTAGTGCTGGAATATGTCAGAATGACCATTTGAGAAGAATATAACTGTACTGTTTCAGTCATTAAAATGAAGTTCTCGCCTTTCAATTCTTTACCTTCTCCATAGTCTTAATTTACTTCTAAAAAATCAGCAGACTTAAAATGAAACATGTCAACTTTGTTCTGGCAACTTATTTGCCACAGTTGTGTAAGTTGATTTTTTATTTTTTATTTTTTTTTTAGAGTTGACTATAACAAAATGTGGTATAAATTGTCAATCTGAGGCTTTCTGAAAACTGGAAAATTCCATTTAATCTCATGCTGTCATGTTAGTGAAATTTTTCTAGACCAATAAAAGTTTAGGTTGCTGAATCAAAAAAACATTTGTCAGATGTCACATACGTCATAAGCACTACCTTGGTTGAGTGCCATTGGTTATTCACCAGGGATTAAAGCTGTGGGAAATTATTGTTTGAATTATATTTCCTAGCTTCAGTAACAGATTGAGAAACACTGGGGAAGCATAAAATTTATGGCCAAATTTTTTTTTTTTGTGTGTGTGTGTGTGTGTGTGTGTGTGTGTGTGTTTTGCTCCTTGAATGCCTTTAGGGCACTTTTGCATGGCTGGAGTGTTGTGGGGATCGAACTACAGCAAACTGAGGCTGCCAGCATTGTGGAAGCTGCCACTTAAAGAACTGAGCTAGGGCTGGGCCCCCTAAATTATTTTTGATAAATTAGAAAAAGACCAAGTGGTGGGATTTTGATCGTTGGGGATATATAAATGCACAAACCTGAATCCTGCCTCCTTGATAGAGGGAAGTGAAGAGTACTTATTACTTTATTATTGCATAGTCTTTTGACGTTCTTTCAGAAAATATAAATTACTTAATACAGAAAAGGCCCATGTTACTTCTATATCCCATTGTGCATTTAAATGAGTGTCTTTATTTTATTTTAACATGTTTTTTAACATGTTTGAAGTGTATGATTACATTCATTGTGGGGAATTAGTACATGTACATAACACATCTTATTTCTTTTATCATCTCCTTCCTCTCCCCTGTATCCCCCTTTGTCCTTTTTGAATATGAAATGTTAATCCCTACTCTCTTCTGCATGTTATCGTTTCTATTAGCTATATTTTATAAATAATGTATGTTAACATGCTAATATTCCTGCCTTCTTGCTTAGAGTTCTCATTTTTTTGAAGCTGTCCTTGTAGTATGTTGTATCTGTTGTAGTAACGTGAAGTCCATAAAATTTACCATCATGACTCAGTTAAAAATACATACTTTTCATTGATTAGTGTGGCCTGTGTCTTGAAAGACGTGCTGATTGCCAATCCCCTTTTTCAGCAGGATAACCTTGGTTCTCAGTTCAGCCACATGAGTCTTGCCCGCCAGCCATCTGATGGTTCTGACCCACATGCCACCATGTTCCAGTCTACTGTGGTTCTTCAGTCTCCACAGCAGTCTGGTTACGTCATGACAGCAGCACCCGCGCCACACCCTACTCCCCCGCCCCCTCTGCCCCCTCCTCCCCCACCGCTCCCACCCGGGCAACCTGTCCCTACTGCCAGCTATGCTGCCTCTGCTCATCCTGTCAGCCAGCCTG